CCAGTGTTTTTCTTACGACTACTGACTGCACTGAGAAAAAGCTCTGCCTGCAACGTGAGAGACCGAAGAATCAAAAGAATTTAGAAGTACAAACTAAACGCAAGCTCGTCAGGGTATAAACTGTATTTTCCTAGTCTGGAGAACTTGTACCTGGCTACAACTGACAGCGGCACTCTTCCTAATCCAGTCTTAAATCTTACAAAGACTTAAACCAGGATAATCTTGTCTTCTTTGAAATGGAAGCAAATTATTATCAAGATAAATCTTAGTACTGAGGATAAAACTCTTGGGTAGTCCCACAAATTTCCAACAACTACTGCTAATTTTCCTTAATCCCTGATCCTAGTTATTAACAACAGATCACTGCTAACTACACGAATTTCTGCCTTCCTCACACCTACTTCCTGTCTCCTTTGTCCTGATCAGTCTCATCAAAGATAACAAGTACAAAACCTTTCACACCTACCAATTATAATAATTCAGTAGTATAAGTAACATCTACATTTGCTGGAAATGAAATGAAAGTACTTCCCTTTCTCAATAAGAAGAAAGGAAATGGTGACTTTGATATATCTAAAAATAATTTTATTGACTAATTCCCATTACCGGAGAAGGCTATCTTTTTCTATTAGTACAGGGCTACACATTTTATTCCTTACATAGCTCGAAGACATCTTCCAGAGGAAGAAAAACATCTGCCACTGATAAATTCTTGATTAGTTAATAATCTGTTTTCACTTCAAAATTCTTAGCACATATCTGATCTGTCTTTAACTTATAAAGCCTAAGTCAATCTATCAGCCAGCCAGCCAGCCGAAACGCTGTCATGGCCCATTAGGAGTCATAACATGCTCTAATATTACTTGATACCAGCCACAACTCCTACTATGCAGACGGTGGGCAGAAACACTGACCTGAAACCCAGCAGACGCTCCCCGCCAACGCGACACGAACGGGGCAGGGCGTGCTTCCCAGAACACCCGCCGTCAGGGGCGGCCAGAGCCTCTTAGCAAATCACCTTCAGCTGCGGGGGACATCTGTAGTTTACCTTAATGGCCCCCAAGGTAACTTTCTATTTCTGCCACTATTTTACACGACTGAAGCCTGACTGAACCAGAACCTATCTGGATCTCCGTTTTCACCTCTGGAAATCTGTGCAGTACAGTAATCCTTGTCAAGCCACAAGAAGTGCCTGAGATTCACTGTGGTAGGTTTCATCAATGAGAACAGTGTCTCAACAAGTTAAAAATAGAATGACCATATGACCCAGCAATCCCTCATCCGCAAATAAACCCAGAAGAAACGGAATCAGCACCTCGTAGGAGCGTCTACGCCCTCGTGTTCACGGACTGCAGTGTTGTTCAGGACAGCCCTGGGAAAGCCTGTGTCTGCTGACAGGTGAACGGGTAAACTTTAAGGATGAAATATGTATTTATATACATATACTCTGCCATCAAAAATAAATGAAATACGTATTCACCACTGAAAGATCTTGCCATTTCCAAGGACACAAATGAAGGTTAAAGACATGCAATAAACCTGGTAAAAGAAATTAAAATGCTGCATGGTCTCGTTCACAAGGAGAAGATGTAGAACTGCGGGGAGGGGTGGAGACAAGGGAGAGGGTGGGAGGCAGGAAGGAGACGGTGGGAGGCAGGAAGGAGAGCAAGGAGGGGGAGAGGGACAGCGGAGGAGGAGCGAGAGGTCCGACCAGGGGCAGCGATGAGGAGGAGGGGGAGCTGCGGATGCAAGGGTCCAAAGCTGCAGTCACCCAAGTCTGGAGAGGGACCTTACAGTGTGAGACCGACAGTGAACAACTACTATGTCATGCAAATCTGCAGGGCAGATTTTAACTTCTTTTGCCATTAAAAACACAGATCATTATGTGGGATGGTGCATATGTCAATGTGCTTGACTCTAATATTCATTTCACTGTGTATATGTGCATTTAAAACACCACGACCACCACTGTGAGGGCCAAACCCGGCTCTTTCGCCTGCAGTTCATAACCTCCGAACTGATCCCTGTGGGCCCCAAACCACAACCACACACAGATACATACATGGCACAAAACTCAAACGCTGTCTTTTTGTGAATCAAAAAGGTGTGAGCAACGATACTCCCAGAAGGAAGGCTGACGTGAACTGAGAAACTGGCGAGACATGATGCACTCCACACGTCCAGCCTAACACGCTCAGAGCCGCGGGAAATCGAAAACCAGGAAGACCCCGAGAGCACTCATAACTGATGTAAGGATACCAAAGAATGGTTTACGTTTGGAAGGGATATAACAGCAGGTGCTCAAAGATCACGCTGGGGGAAAATATCCACCCATCAGTTGATAATCTAACACAGAAGTTCTCATACTTAAGATATATCGTAAAACCCTAAGAAGCGGGAAAGGGAGAGATGAGCGGCAGTTGGAGGGATTCATCCACAGATGAGCCCCAAAGCCGAGCCGGGGTGCACACCTGTAACAACACCCTCGGGGGCTGAGAAAGAAGAACCTTGAGTTCAAGGCCAGCCTGGGCTACGCAGTGACATCCTGTCTTAAAAAAAAAAAAAAAAATGAACTCTGAGCGGGTTCAACGCACTAAATGGCATGGTGAAGACATCTTTGTTTGAGAAACTGGATCAAAAAGAAAACAAAGAGTGAAAGAGATTAAGAACACTCTAAAAGAAGAAAGTCGTGGAGAGAACCAGGTCGGTTAGAGCATGGGAAGTCGAGATTTTAAGGCCCTTGAGAGCCACCATGTTTGGTCTTAAAGCAAGAACAACTAGAAAAAAATACTCCAAAAAAAAAAAACAAAAAACAACAAAAAAAAACTCCAATATAGGTAAGCAGAGTGAGGAAGTGGAATTTCTTGAAGAGTAACTTGGTCATGTCCTCCACACACTCAACATCCCCGTAACCGACTTCAACATGGTGTCAAAGCCACAACCTCGCCTCCAAGGCCTCTTCTGACCTCCCCAGCTGCCAATCCTTTCAATTATACCCCGCACCTTTCTCGTCACTTTTTACACTGAACACCAAGAGTTCAGTGCACACCTCTACTACTTTCTTTTCTTCTCTCACCTCGCTTCTACTGGAGGCACTACAAACTACTGACAGAGCTGGGCGTGGCGGCGCACACCTGTAATCCCAGCACTCAGGAGGCTGAGGCGGGAGGACTGCTGGGAGTTCAAGGCCACAGTGGGCTACAAAGTGAGTTCAAGGCTGGCCTGAACTGCCCCGTAAAACCCTGTCTCAGAAAACAGAGAAACTACTGACAAAGATGTTCCTAAATATAGGTCCATGGCAGTAGGAACACCTCAGGCTCACCGCTCCCCGAGTAGCACGGAGCCCTCTGGGCCCCACCCCTCCAGGGCTAGTCACCAGCTCCTGCCAATGCTCCTCTGCCGGACAAGGACCTGTGCGCACACGTCCTCCACCCAGCGCGCTCTTCTTCTCTGGCTTTGACGAAGGGCCCACGTCTTTCAGTCGGTCCCTCCACAGGCAGCGGCTCGCCCTTCAGGGCCGAGCGATCCAGCGTTTGGAACACCCGCGAAGACAGAGCACGGAGCAATGTTTTCTCTCTAAGTTCTGTCTCTTGACTTCTCCGAGATAACCCATACGATTTCTCATGTAAAAATTCAAGAAATTTCAATCTTCAGCATAAATGGGCTGACAGCTCTTTAAAAAAGAAAACGCCCAAAACATCGCACGATGCTGCTCCTCTGCTCTCCTCAGCAGCTCCTAACTGCCTACGGACGTCCAAGCTTCTTGACGGGTGCACATACATGTGTAAATATGCGGCACACAGAAGCCCCCTTCCACCTAACCTCTCTCGTTATGCTCAACTTGTCCCATCTGCTAATGGGAGTTTAATGGTCTAGGAATGATCCAACTGCCCTTAATACCACATTAATTTTTTCTCCATGGCGTGAATTATACTGATTCCTTTGCCATTTCATTTTTTACTTAACCATTTCATCTTTCAATCATAATCTCAAGATCTTCCTTTACCCGTGTTAGGTTCAGCGTCACCCTCCTGCGCTCCTGGACAGATCACATTATATAATACGTGTGGGTATGTCCTCTCACTGTCACCCTTTCTCCAGTAAAATAGAAGCTACATTTGTTCCTGCTGACTCTTAAGCGACTGCACCAAATAAATGCTACCTCACTTACACTGACCTCAAATAAAGGCAGGCAGTATTTTGAGTGCATATACCAACAAAACACAGAGATCGTACTTCTAAAATAGCTAAAACTCAAAATTTAGAATACTGAAGCCCAACGAGTTCAGCCTCAGTGAGCCTTACACCTTCCATTACCAGGCAGTGAACTCCAGAGGTGAAGGACTGAGACCAGGATTCCAGAGAAGCTAGGCTTGTCTCTCTCCCTGAGGTACACTGCTCGGAAGGTACGGGTGCTGTCTGAGCCGGTGCGATGAGCATGAGCTTAGCAAGCTACTTTCTAAATGGTAACGGAGATGGGTGTCGCTCTCATGCCTTCCGGAAAAAGTAGGAGACAACAGCACAACTAACAGAGAACAAGCGGTGAGAAAAAGCAGGCAGAGCCCCAAGGGATAAAGCAAGACCCTGCAAGTGACCCCATCCAAGAAGGCTTCAATGGAAGACCGAAAGAGATGCCAGCGCCCGAAGACTCAAAGCAAGAGAGCACGCCAGGAAGTGGGGTTCGCCCGAGGCAGCTCGCGTGGTGGGACATTTACAAGTGGTCATACACACCACAATAACCATAAACCCCAAGGACGCCACCCAAGAAGTCTGTTCCCACCCCACAGCAGCTCTTCTCTCCTGTTCTGTTTTTTTTTTTTTTTTTTGGTTTTTCTCTGGTACCGGGAATTGAACTCACAACCTTGCGCTTGCCAGGCAGGCGCTGTGCCGCTGAGCTAAATCCCCAGCCCCTTCTCTCCCGTTCTGGAGGTGAATAAAAATGCATATAAACAACCTTGATTTAATGAAAAAATAATAATAAAGAGCTTTAAACAACGTACCTTTGATTTTTTGTTCAGTGGCCTAAAATAAAAACAAACAAACAAAAAACAATGTAAATATGAAACTGAAATAAATGGGCTGTTATGATAAAATGCTCATATATTACTATTATATACGACATACATTTTTATTAAATAACTTGTCATTTAGATGAAGTGCACAGGAAAAGATCTGCAAGAGTGCACGTTCTTCCCACAGACGTGCCCCATCATCCCCGATACTACGTTTATTCATTTTAGGAACCGTCTGTTTCCTTAGACGTACAATACAGAGGACACTGACCATAGAACTTTTAAAGGAGGGCTGCACTTTTCCATCGCTCAGTTTAAAAACCATTTTTATGTAACTGTCACTTACATGTAATGAATCTGAAGAACTTTCATGTTTTAGTGGCTTCAAAGTCATTACTAATTATAAAAGATGAATTATATTTTTGTAAGAAAAGCTGTATCTCATCCCCTTGGCCACACGGGCAATAAACTTAACTTTTGGAGGTTAGACTGCTAGTACGGTTAAATGTGGTTAAACTGGTAACGCCTGCGCTGTCTCTTCTGACACATGTGACATCCGACAGCTCACTAAAGCCGCCGTGATCCAAAGCTGAACCGACAGAACCCTGCCGTCCTGCTTCGCCTAGAGCCTGCTTTCACTCACGGCTCCTCAGTCCTTAGCTGAGGGGAGGGCCCGGGAGACAGGACGACTGTCCGGGTGACGGACTCGATCCTCCCTCGAAAGGGCTCGAGAAGCACCCGGACAGAGGCCCTTCGTGGAGACCACGAAAGGGGAGACCTGAAAGTAACAGAGCTGAGCCTGGGCACACTGACCGGGAAGGTGGAATATCAGTAACTGAATAATAACTCATCCGGGCTGAAGACAGAGCTCGCCACGGGCGAGACAACTCATTTTGCTTAGTCATACTAAATTAAGTTACCACAACCCTGTTTTAATTATATCATTATAGATGTAGATGATAAAAACTACAGTAATTACCCTCACTGAAATCACACCCAATATTCACCTTCCCTTCAGGGCTGATCCAAGCACTGAAGCGCTTTATCAAGTTTTAGGGCCTCAGTGGTACAAAAGTGATGGAGGCCTGTCTGTTCTCTAGGATTAAAATTAAAAGGGAAAAACTGATGGCAGGACAATGTCAGAAGACCAGGCAACCAGCCTGACAATATTTATTCCTATGGGAAATCATTCAAAAAAATCTGGTAACAGCCAAGTCTTTGTTAGAGCTTAGTAGAGAACACTTAAGTATTACAAGTGTCAGGCCAAACAACAAGTAATTTTCTAAAGCCAAAAAATGAGTACAGAACTTATTTTGCATGTTGAAAGCCTTTCTGAAACAACCTCTCTGAATCTTGTTTAAAGGATACTGAATTAGAAGACACAGAAACAAAACGAGACTATTAAAACCCAGTGTTGCTCTCCGAGGTCCTACAACCTAAAGGATGTGTCCGAGCAGCTCCTCGCGGAAAGCCTGAGTCTCGTTCTGTACTCTGTAATGTGCAGAGCGGGGCACTGAGGGGATACCCCGAGGTGTCTACTTGCAGGACTCATCTAATATATAATACAGTTAAGCAATGTACGAGACAAAAACTAAAAACTCTTAACTTATTAGGAAGAAATGGAACTGACAGAGTTCTCGTGTTTAAAATAGGTCTCTGTGGGTCGGTCTGTGGAACTCCAATTATTAAATGAGAATTTTCCAAGTGGGCACAGTGAGTTCGACAGTAAGTGTACACCCCCACAACAGCGGCCGCTAGCCCCGGCGGCTACTGCTCACTGCACTGACTAGCATAAACCAAGATATGCAAAATCAAACAGTATTTCTAATATCTATTGTTTTAAAAGAGGAAATCTCATTGCAACCTCTCATTAATATTAATCATCATCAATAACATTACTGAAATAGTAATGCTCTGGCTCTACTGGGTTTCATAAAGTATTTAAAATTCAATTGTTTGTTTTTATCTTTAAACAGTCTTGCCATAAAAACCCTCTGGGTCTCAGTTTCCTAACCCTCAAACGGACAAACTAAGTGTCCTGTTTACCTTTCACGGCTATTTTTAGAAACAGTATGAAAGATCTTTTTTGGAAAAGAGAACTATAATATTTATATGTGAGGTATCATTGTAGATTCTCCTACACAAGAGGATTAAAAGGTCCTGGCAAATCAAGAAAACTGATTTCCACTTTTAGTATTTTTTCCTTGAAAGATCTGAGCTGTGATTCCAAATCATCAGGACAACTGCCGCATTTCATTAGCAAAGGCAGGCTCTGCCCTGCCTGCGCGCTTCCAGAGTCCCTCGGCACGTTCCAGCGGTTCAGGAGTCAGGTCAGACTGCCTGTCTTTGAGTCCCGGTTCTGCCACTTAAGGCTGTGTGGCACTGATCAAACTAGTTAGCTTCTCTAATGCTTACTTTCCTTATCTACAAAAGGCAAAAACAGCCACCTGGGGGCTGTGCCGCGCAGAGATTTAACTCCCGGAAGAACGCGGTAGGTGCTTTCCGCCGGCTGTGCCACCCGTCTGCCTGTACCTTGGCTCCCCGCTCGCTCGCCTTTGGAAACGAGCTGACTCTACTCAGGTCAGTCCCCGGCCCTTGCTTCCCTACGGTTCAGCGAGGAGCAGTGAGCCTAGAACTCAGGCCTGCTAATTTTTTTTAAAAATAAAAGATGAAGACCACGGCAGGACTAGGGGCACGACTGTAACCTAACACCTAACTGCCCGCAGGGTGCCAGCTCCCTTCAGCCTGGTTATGTGGCCCCACGGTGACTAGGAAAATGTACTCATCGACGGCCCAGCACATCTCCCAGAAGGAAGTCAGAAGCTGTCTACAACCTAGGTCTCACTTAAACTTTAATGTAGTATGTTTTAATCAATAAAGCCTGTAAAATTCCCTCCAGCTCTGGACACAGTAACAACAAAAAACCACCAATGCGGAAACATTCTCCGACACCAAAAGATCCCAATTTGTACCCTTGCTTCCTCCAGCCCTCAACTATTAGCTGCTTTCCAAGAACTACAATTATGTGCTTCAAGTAGAGGTTACCCTAAATTATCCCTCTATAATTAACCTATTTCTCAACCTCCTTTTTCCTCATTACAGTTTCCTTAAGACCCGTCCAGAAAGGGCTTCTACAAGCAGGACCTGGGGAGAAAGCCATGGTAATCTCCTGGCACCACTATCGCCCTTTTAATCAGGGAAACTGCATTTCCATGTTCTAGCAAATTACTTTGTATGCCTAAGAATCAAGAGATAGCAAAACAGCCTGATTCTCTGAAAGAATGGTACATACAGAAATTAGGAAAAGGTTTTTCAAGCATAAAAAATTAAAAACAAAGCCATCCAGGCATTAATCTCTTTATTAATTAGAGATGTACTAGGACTGAAGTACAATTTTTTTAAAAAATCACCTAATTTTGTATAAAATTTCTTTTAAAACCACTTAAGTTTGTATTTAAATAATGGGCAAAATGAGTAAAGCTATTAAGAGTTAAAATACTGTGGTGAGTTTTTTGGTGTGTAATTATATAAGAAGTTATGCTTTCCATCTTTTTAACTTAAAATAGAAAACAACAAATGGTACAAATTTAAATTTCTTTGAAAGTCCAGGTGGGTACTAGAGACAGTTAAAGCTACGTATTTTCTGTATTCACGGCAGAAGGACTTACTTTATGCCCTACTATGAAAATTACCACAATGTATCATTAAAGTTCGCCTTTAATGGCGAAACGTAAACCGGAAGTATAAGACAGTGTTCTGCAACAAAAGGTGAAGTCACGGCAGGCTTCTGACAAAGCCCCGCCAGAGTAATCGAAGATGTCGATTTCACTGCTGGTTCCATCACCACACTGGAACCACGATTAGCCACTTAATTCACTGACGCTGAGGTCACCTCAGACTGAAAACAAGTACATCCCAACAGGTAACTTCTGAAGTCGTTTTCGGACATGGAAGTACGCATAGGTTTACGTAAAATAGGCAGGCTGTTCTCACGGTCGTAAGTTTATGTCGACAGGCCGCCCCGCTGGCTGTGTAGACGTCTGTCACCTGCCTGGATAGACCTGGAAAACACGACCTCTAGGAGGCGTGTCGTGAAACTCCTGTGACTCACTATCTTTCACACGGACTGTCAGTGTGCCGATTTGGGAAATGTGTGCAGAGCTATCTCATAACAGTTCATGGAAATACCAGCTGTCTTCGCTTCACCAACAGGTCGCACCAAATTCAGTCGTAAGCTGACTTTCTGAAATTCGGAGAATAGTCTTATTTACAGTGGCAGTGTAGAATATTAAGCCTGACATTTACTAGACGTATTAAAACTCTTCGTCATACTGTGTTCCGTGGATAGATACCACTATGTGTCCGCAGGATACACAGAAATACCCTGTCAATCCTGAAGATCTGGTAGGAGAAAAAACTCATCTCCAAACTCAGCTGTTCCCAGTAAGACACGGCAGGGATGACAGACTGTGCTAAGGCTGAGGTGGGGTGCAGGGCGAAGAGTGAGGGGCTGTCTCACCTCAGACTCCATGTGAGCCCCAAAAGCACAACGATCACATTCCCTTGCTAGGGGTGACTCCATGCTGGGCACACTTAAGAAACCGCTTCTACTGAGTTGGTGAATGAGAAACTTGGCTATGAAAGAATGTAAAAATGAGCTTGTAATAATCACATCCATTATCTGTATTACAAATTTAAAAATTATAGTATACTCACAAAAATACAGTATTTAAAGAAATGATCCTAGTCACTCAGGCCTCTCTTAGCCATTCCACATGCACTGTACCGCACTCTGAACTGGCAGCTGAACCCTGAGCTCCTTGGGTGGCAGGACAACGGGAGCCTAATATAAACACTACCAAGACCCATGGAGTCAAGCTACTCATTTTGCATAAAGCACACCCGGGCATTCTCTGGGAGGAACTCTTACGCATCTCAGGAGCTCCTGTCATTGGGTAAACGATCTTCATGCCACAGAACAAGAGTTTGATAAGCCTGCCCTTAACTTCAGACTTAGAGATACACAACTTGTTCACAAATCCTAAGTGAAGACAGACCAGACTGGAGGACAGTCCTACACAAGCAAGTCGCTGCAGAGGCCCGAGGCATCAGGCCACACGGGACACCCACCATGACAAGTGCGCAGGCATCCCCTCCCGGCGACCCACGAGCATGGCCAAAAGGCGTGAGCAGGGTCACCTGTTATCTGGTCTTTACTTAGCTCCCGAAGCGCCGTTACTCCGCCCTCTCCCACCCTTGCTGACGACGCCCTGAACTCCGCACAGCTGTAACTGAACCTGCTCATCGCCCCCTGTATTTCCTGCCTTGGTTAACTGCTCCCAGCATGAACGCAGTCACGCACGCATCCACCTAGGGTACTCCCTCTTAACGCCCTGGAAGCAGACGCTGTGGACTACTGCGTTGCTTTGGCCGCTATTTCACCGGGTGGCACCTACCGCTTCCAGCCCACATTTAACAGCAGGCTTTATGCTGCTCTCCTGAAATCTGTTCAGGGCCCTCCCCGAAGAGCCGACGCTTCGGAAACATCTACAGCTACCACCAGCTCTTGCGTGTGTCTTACCTCCTGCCACTCCTGCTGGCGGTGGCCCAGGCCAACCCACGCTTTACCACAGCAGGCCGCAGGCGCTCGCTTCTGAGTTCCCTCTGCCCGTGGTCCTTTGCTGTTCCTCTCCTCATCACCCGAACGACTTCTAGTCCAAGAAAACGCCCTGTCCCTGGCCCCACCTCAGACAGCTACGCACCTCTCTCTGCCTCAACGGTTCCCCACAAATGCCTCACCGACCACCTCGGTGCCCTGCCTGTTCTTCCTTGTCACAGGGGTGGCGCTGCGGCCTACATCCAGGCCCGGCACACTGCTCAGCACGAAAGAGGCACATTGAAAGGAGAGTAGTAATTTTTCATTAAAACGGAGAAATGAAACAGTAATTTCATTTTAGAGTATTTCAAGGTCTTTGAAACCTTGATATAGGAGGAGATAACTGTGAAGATTAGTTAGCTATCAACATCCTTTAGTTTTAAAAACTTGTGAGGAATTTTATGAGGACAGTCTTTCATTGTTGCCTTAACATATACCGTTTTGGCTACAGTGTTTCCCTACTGGTTAGTGTTCTCATATGTTTATTGTCTCAGATTTATTTTAAAGTACTGTACCTTAACATACACTGCCAATTTAAAAAAATCAGCCTAGGAACCACATGAAAAGGGAAGAGGAAAATAACATTTTACTTTCTAGTGTATTACGATTTCCTCAAATGCTATATTCCTGTGTTACTTTTTTTCCTATTGCACTCACGTCCTATGATATTTTGCTTGCAAAATGTAAGGAAACTAAGGCCCAGAGAGGCTGAATAAAATTTAAGGTCACACTGTTCTGTGTGCTCTGTGGGAAAATGAGGCTTCAAAGCCTCTCTGTGTGGCTACAAATTCCATGCTCTTCCCACTTATGTAACTGTGAAATACCTAGGAACAGCTGTGTGAAACTTAAAGAACTAGCTAATGTACTTACCTTGGAAAAACCATCAGCAAGATTAAATAATTATGCTTTAAACTGTACACATTCAGCAAGCCATTTCATATGCATATGCAAGTACATCAAATTTTAAAATGAATCTCCACTAAAGTTAAATCATTAAATCAAATGCTTTAAACATCAGAGAACATTTTCTTTTTTTGTCTGTTCCAATCACTTAACACAAAGGTTACCATATACTACCTTCTTTTGAGCAGCTTCCTTCTTTTTCTTGTCGTCTTTTTTCTTTTTCTTTTCTTCCATCAACTGTTCTTCTTCTTGCACTAAATCCCTGAACCACACAGTAGCAATTAACTTTCCCAAAATGTATTAAGAAATAAAAATCATGTTGTACACAGATGCATTTTCACTTATGAGAAGACAAACTTTTATCTTCCACTAAAATAAAACAATCTGCACTAAATGTAATTATATAGCCCAATATAGTACAATCCACTTTTCTTTAATTAATAGAATTTTCCACAAGTACAAGAGCTTTCTCTTACTGTTGTAGCAGGAAGACAACCTAAAATTAGCAGATTTTACACTGGGAAACAAGCAGTTCTCTCCAGTTCTAAAATGTAAACAGTATCAGGTAGGCTGGTATTATCTTGAAACTTTCTCATTAGAGGACACTCCAATTATTAATTAGGAGCTAAGGGCATTGCCTGGGACCTTCCCATAATCCTCCCCTGCACAAGGGCCTGGGGGTACCATTTGTTGGCTTTCCTTGTTCCAAACAGCTTTGTAAATTTTAGGGTACAAGTTACTCATGAACAGGTGACATGTACTTCGGTATTACAACAATTTCATACTCTACAGACATTTCACACTATTCTATCAATTCTGAGGAAATAAACAATAATCTATCCTTGACACAAATTTAAATTTATGAAATCTCAAACGCTCCAAGTTGTCAATAAAACCTCTGCCTTAGAATTTCAAAATGTGTCTCCTTCCCCTGCTGTCTCTGCCTAAATTTAGGGAGAAAGTCATCATCACATTCACAGCTCATGAATAAGCAGGAGCGGAGAAAGCCACACCCCGATAACCACGGACGTCTGTAAATGGACGCGGCGGTCAGCCGCTCTGTGGAGCTCCAGAGCAGTCCCAAGATGAGAACAGGGAGAGCAGAGTAGGAGCGGGCGGGAAGACTGCCCAGGGACATCACGGGCCGGCCTACTGCCTCTCTGCACAGGCAGCAGCCAGCTGCCTCCCCTCCCCACAGCGCCGGGAACGGACCCCAGGGCCTTGCACATGCTAGGCAGCGCTCCACGACTGAGCTACACCCCAGTTCTACGTGGGAAGTGCTCTTAAATTCAGCCGAAAACCAAAGAAATACTCCCTCGAGAAACTAACCCTTCCCCAGTGGCTCTGGTGAGCTCAGAAGGAAGTCTCCGTTACTGAAGGGCTCGCTCTCCCCCGCACCACGCTGCAGCAAAGCCCACCCCGCGCACCACCCACATCCCGCACACCACGCACACCCCGCACACCACGCACACCCACGCGAGGCCCGGATTACCCCTCACGCCGGCCGCTCCCCCCAGACCTCACAGAAACAGCCCGGACAGGGCCGGGCATATAGCTCAGCGGCATAAGCGTTTGCCTGGCAAGCCTGAGGTCATGAGTTTGATTTCCGGTACCAAAAAAAAGAAACAGCCCGGACAGGCCAGCCGCTCCATGCTCCACATCTGACCAGGATCGCCTGCCTGCAAGCCACGCTCACCCGGCCCTTCTCTTTGCCCCCCTTTCCCATAGAACCCCGAGGGTTCTGTCGGCCCTGAAAAACGGATCCTGAACTTCTCCGTGCTTCTAGCACGGCCGTGCTGATTAAAGGCCCTTCCCTGTCCTTCACCCCGTCCAGCTCCTTGCTTTACAGGGTGAGTGGCTGCGCTGGGTCTGCTGGGACCTTTGGAATTGGGGTTTTTGCCCCCAAACTCCAGTAATGGTAGGAGTTTCCCAGGTAACGTAAGAAGAAAGAAACTCACTCCACCGACCTGTGCTACACACCCTGAGTCTAGAATCTGAAACTTCGTTCGTAAGAACAACAAGCAAAGAAGTTATTTCGAGGGCAGGGGATATAGCTCAGCGGTACAAGCGCCTGGCCTGGCAAGCGCAAGGTCCCGAGTTCGATTTCCAGTACAAAACAAAAGCTATTTCACTGGACACTTGAAATAATCACAAACACGAAGTATTTAACTGCGCCCTAAGGAAGCTTCTCAGAGGGAGCATTACAGATAAACAGCGGGCAGACCGGGTGAGGGGACAGGGACACGAACCAGACATTTGGGAGACAGAAAACCACGAAGCCAGAACGCACGGGGCAGCAGGGGTGAAGCCGGGGCTGCAATGAAGACGACGAGGAGTACGCGGGAAGCTAGAGGGGGCACTGCAGCGAACGCGACACAGCTCAGCCGCTGCGCCGCCGCGGGGCGCCCAGGAGGCGCGGGCAGTGAACCGGCTGAGCGGCGGGCACCGCTGTAACGGCGAGCGGGCCGAGGCACACGGCCGCTGAGCTCAGTGCGACGTTGGAAGCAGCGCAGGTGGCGTGCTGTATTTCACCGCCATCGCGCTGTGAGTGGGTCTGCGCGGGCTCACGGAGGAGCGGCACAAATCCATGCCCCCCGCACCGGGCCTCCCTTCTGCCTTCTGCGGGAGGGCCGGGAAGTACGCTGGCTCACTGCGCTCCCGGGGAAGCCAGGCCTGAAGGAGGCTTGGGCACATGAGAGGGGCGGGGTCAGGCACAACAAAGGCAACGGGTGACACTACCGCCAAGTCTCCAGGCCTGGGCGCGGGAAGCCAAGAGCAAAAGCTAACGGCTGGGTCTAATTCACTCCTCACACTCGGCCTCCATCTCGTCAGGTGGAAACGGGGGTAGGTGACCGTGTATGTCCCCTTCGTGGTATTTTTGTAAGAACCACAGCAGGACGCTTACTTAGCACCGCTCCTAAGAGCCGCGTCAGGAAGGCACCCACGCGGCCTGCCTCCGGCCAGGCCCGCTCGTCGTGACCGCACACGTGCTCTGACTGCTGGGGCCCCCGCGACTGTGCTCCCCGAGGCTTCGCGTCTGGCCTTCCCCTCCTCGGTCAGACTTTATTTCACAGGCTTCTGTTGAGGTTCCCGTGTGTTTTACAAGATGGAAACATTCTCCTCGGTACTTAGAAGCTGTGCCCGCCTCCTCTGAAGACAGGGCTACCACAACACCTGATACTCCAAGCACAGGAAAAAAATTTTCAATTTTTTGATTCTATACCATCATCACATCTACTAACCGCACTTCCTTTGATTCCCTATTTATTTAAGAAAACTAAACTGGGGGGAGGCAGCGGGGAATATACAGAATCTGCCAAAAAATGTACGGAAGCAGTTGAGGAAAAGAAAAACAGTATGATGTTGCTCAACAGATGGTGTTGCTCTTGTAGGGGAGAGCCCAGAGGAAGTTATGTGTTACAGAAAGCCCACTGCACTGCCGGCCCGAGAGAAGAAACAAAACGCACGGCAGCGGTCTCAACGGCCAGGGT